AGTACAGGCCATTTTGTACTATTTATACTGTATCAGACAAATCGATACCCCAACTACCTACTCTCCCTCTAAGGCTGACTTGAACCAATGGTGTGAGCTAAACAGAAGATGAAGTGAGCTCTGGCGATTAGTTTCGATTCCACAGTGCCACGATGTGACATGCAAAAAGCTTGCACAATGGACATTATCTTGACGCATCACTGGGTCACGTGAGTTCTCTCTTCTCATTCTATGTGGTCTCTACAGAAGAGTTTTTCGAGAGAGAAGATTGTCTGAGGTAACACATTCAATCTGCCAGCTGATTGCTCATGGCACTGTGAAATCCATCTAAACAAGCACGATACCAACACAACAACAATCATAGGGTTATATCCCGGTACGGACGAGAACGATGTGAGCCGAAGGAAGGTTGATGCCTATTGGTTTAACGGCTTTTGAATGGGCTCAGTTAGTACTGTAGGCTGGTGGTGGCCAAGTGATAAGGTCACTAACTGGNAACTGGTGACCTGGGTGTCCCGGGTTCAAACCGCTCCACCGCCGCCCGTCTTCCCTATATCTGTATTTTCCCCACGCAGCCTTTGAATGGCCGCAGCCCCGTTCCTGAAAGTTAACTGTACATTCGAATATTCAATAAATAGAAAAAGGAAGTAAAAAGACATTTAAGACATTTATTTATGTACTGGCCGGAGTGTATTCAACTTATTTTTCTCCCTCGCTTTATTGCGAGTGAATTACACTTGTAATTCACAATTCTCTAACTTGTCGATTCATCACCAACACGATCCGGTGTTATCTNTTTCAGTGTAGTTACGGCATCGGTGTCTCTCAATATGACGTTTTAGCCATACGTCATTTCACTGGGCCAATTCGCTAATCGCTAATTGATTGTTAGTTTTACCTCTCCGCTACTAACCATTATGCGTAAAATACGGGCTGTCCGCGGCACACCCACTGATTTCCCCCCGATTGTGACCGGCAGATAATGACCGGGTTGGGACTGGTTTTCCTAATTCACTTGTCCGTTTTTGTTGTTATTGTTTTTCTATGGACAGTAGAAGAAACAAGTTAGTCCTGTTGTTTTGTGCCTTAAAAATCTAATGTATCACACTGCATGCGTATTGTTTAGTACAAAAGCACTGTCAGTTAAGCACGCGGCATATCATTTAGCGTGAACTCACTAATGCTAACCAGGACAAACAAAACATAATCGATAAACACCAACAGCATGTGCTTCATTGTGACTGGTCAAGCGCACTCACACATACGCACACACGTGCGCGCAACAGCCAATCCATTGACATTCGGACAGCGAAGCAGTGTCTGAACTAATCCGGTTTTGAATCAGGTGTAAACCATCCATCAAACCGGATCAATGTCCCATTCATTCATGTGTTGAGCAAGGGGGGGGCATTTATCATTATGCGCATTCTGTATAGGATTTTTATGGTTGATTACCTCATTATTTCACTGTTACATGATGTGAGTTGATGTACTCCACAGAGTTTCAGTCTAATCGGTCCCGCAGCGGCCAGTCTTGCTCGCTTTCAGTCCTGGCTGCGGATCAACTGGCGATGTCTGATAGACCACAGTGGAGAGGAAATCGGACGAAAAAGAAAAGAAAAGAACGTTCACGTATCATTGCGGACACATTTTCTCTCAGCTCCTAAAAGAACTATCGCACGAAAGTGAACATTGATAAATAGGACACAACTCCTCTACATTCCCTGTAGTCAAGGTACCGCCACCTAAATGTCAGTCGCAAGCTCCTATACCGTCACAAATGAAAAAGAGCGTAGGTGGCAACACTGCACTCACGGTAATTTGTACAAATCAATCATTGAGAGGCAACAGGACGTGTTTAGTCGCTGAACAGAGGTATGTGCTCGAATGGTTGTAGAAGCCAAACCGGTGAGTCTTACACGTTTCTGGCGCCAACCAACATCATCTCACATCGGAGAACTCAGATCACTTCGTATGACGCTGGCCAGTGAAGAAGACGTTGAAAATGTTCTTTCTAGTTTTCTCATTACAAATGGGTCTAGCAATACCAGGATTTTACCGGACAGACCGTGGACCGAGCGTGTACGCCGACGGAACGATTCAAACAGTGCACGCGATGCAGACAACTCGCGGGCGATTCTCACACACGGAGTGCCACAGCTCTCCGAATCTGATGAATGACACTTCATTCAAGAATTGTCAAACTGTCGCAACATCTTCATTAAACGCCTTCCGCGTTCTCCCAACTATCGCGGAGATGGACACCAGAAATGGTAAGCACAGTTCTACAGCTATGGTATGAACACAGAACCAGAGGGCCCCGAAGAGTTACGCGTATGACCAATGCTGAATTCAGGACCGAAACATTGTCCACCTGTCGAAACTCTCAATAACATTGCGCGTGAAACACTGCAAACTTCATGCTCCATTCCGACCCCATCAGACCAAAACCAACAAACACCTACGGCGAAAAACGTTTGCCGGCCGACAACGAGGTCGGTCAAATGATGCCTCTGAACTCCAAGGGGTTTCTGCACCGACAACGATTGAACTGTTTCTGCACCAACGCTTAGGGTTTTCTCAGCAAGTTTTCAGAAGTGTATCTACGCTGTCGGACGAGCTTGTGATCTCATTGCCGCAATCTAAACCTGGTTCAGACCGACTTTTTAGCCTCGGAGCTGCGATTACCAGTCATGGAGCTATCAAGCCGTGATCGTCCAACGCGAGGTGGGGGCGTGTTGCTCTATTATCATAGCAGCTTGAGATGCGAGCAAATTGAGTGTCCGTTCGTTGCTTCATATACATTATGGTGCAACATGATATCGGGTTTATCGGTGTAGTTTGTCGCCCTCCTTCATTAGCAGATTCGTCAAATGAGACTTCGTTGCGACCAATGTCTTACTCCTTGTCATTGAATTTCACCCACGCCCTAATGATGGGTGACTTCAATTGTCCACAGCTGAGCAACATGACGACCTCATGTACGCCGTTTGAACGACAATCCATGCAGCTCGCCCAGTCAAGTTGGTCGTACAATCATGTAAAGGGACCTACTAGGTCATTCAACTGTTCGAAAATCAGCAATTCACAGTTGAACTAGGAAATAAATAATGCAAAAGGACTTACTGGAGGGAGTTCAAACGTTGTCCACGCCCCAGCACTTGGGAAGCTTACTGTATCCTTCGAAACCATTGTACCAATTTAGTGCGGGAAGAGAAGCACACTTATCATGATGCGCTGGCGAGGAAATCGCAAACTCTAAGCTATTGTTTATGCATGTGAACGCTTCCCGGAAAGTCAAACATGGGGTTTCAATACTAAACTTAGCAGGACGTGTTTCAGCGACGACAAAGGAAGCTGAAGAAGTGCTTAGACTACGGTACGCTCAAGTGATCGATGCGCTTAGTAATACTGGGTTAGTACTTCCTCGTTTTCTGGAATATATTCCTTATCAAATTGAAATTTTAATATGGGAAAACAAAGAATTCGCTTATCAAATCCCATAGATGTGTTTTCACTTTCGGTTCGGAACACGATTCACAAGATCACAGTTAGTCCATTACGTAAAAAAATAATGTAATTTTTTTGACGAGCAAAGGATAATATATTATGTGGTTGGGTGTTGAAACAATGTTTGCCAGGGCATCATCAAACTGACGCTTGAAAGATACTAATGTTGGGGCACAGACCACGTCCGGTGGTAGAGAGTTCCATTTGCTGCGAACGAATGGCGTCTGCAGTCGAGACGGTTCTTTTGGAGTACCAACTTTAGTGGATGCCTTCTGAGATTAACATTGTTTGATAGAATCAAAAGTGATCTACATGGATGGTTGGGCTGTTGAAAAATCCGATACAGTAAGATCATCTTACCTTTGATTTGAAGATATTGAAACAAGTCTAGCCCCAATAGCTTTAATCTTTCGATATAGGTCTTGGAATGTAGACCTTCGGCCATCTTGGTAGCCATTCTCTGCGGTTGTTCAAGCGCCTTGCGATCTCTCTGCAGCCATGGGTTCCAGGCCTCAATCGAGTACTTGGTGTATGGACGGATATATGTGGCTAACAAGTGTGGCATCAAAGCCGACTCAAACGATCGAAAAACACTTTTAACTTTCCAACCTGTTTTATCTCCATGGATGATGCCATGAAACAGTTGTGAAGCAACTCAAGTCTGTGCGATGACCTTTTTCTTTAGCAAGTTTGTGTTTTGTATAGAAATACTCGACCGAAAGTGACAATGCACATTTGATCAAACCGAACGCTCTAAGTTTAAGTTGTCGAGACATATGCAATAATCGGTCGGTTCAACTGTAAACAAAATGCATTGAGTATTATCTTCAAATGGAATCCATTCGAAGGAAAAAAACGGGTATAGAACGAGGTGATTAGCCACAGAGGTATCGGAGAATAATATCACAAATACTTGAATTCGTTTGACCGTGTGATTGTGCAAGTCAGCCTCAATTCATTGTTTTCACTTCTCAACGGTGCCCAACTGTAGATGCACTTAGTGGATTTCAGCCTAAACTGCTAACACGTAACCAATGGCAAAGAAATGCCAAATGTGTCACAACATATGGGGGAATAAGTGTGATAGAGCTTTAATTACGGGGCTTCGCAACAGATGCATCATTTAAACCGGTTTCTAGTCATACTAACAAGTGTCTGGTGCCATAGATGTTTGCTGTAAATCTAAAAAAAATAACCTTAGGTCTACTGAACGTTTGTCTTTCATTGAGAATCTGACGTACAGAGAATAAGCGGCCAACGCAGCACTGTCTGAAACGGAATCGAGCTTGCGCTTCATGGATGTAACGTTCTCCTGTCTAACTGAATCTGCGAAAACTCAGCGGTGTAATCAACTTGGATGCAATGGCAATGATGCTATTCCCTCGGAAATTTGAACAATCATGGTGTTCCTTTTTGTTGATTACCTATATACTAATTGATGTGCGTGTACACATGCTCACCATCATTTGGACTTATATTTTTTTTAACAGATCGTACTGTACTGATTATCGCTCATCGATTGAGTACCGTGCGTCAGGCAGATCTGATCATTGTCATGGCAGGTGGTCAGGCGATCGAGGTGAGTCGGACGTTTTTCATGATCTCAATTTCTTTGACAGCTTTGTGGCATGAAGTGTACCGTTTGAATAAAGGCACTTGCGCTCTTTGGCTATTAGTTCACATCTTTCATCCACTGATTCACGATTCTGATTCAATTCAAAATTTTTCGCCCAAGTTTTGATGTTGTTTATCTCACGATAAAAGTAGGACTTATCATGTGTGAATGAAAATCAGCGATGCTAGTGATTTGTCCAAATTAGGCGGTGTCACCGAGGTTTGCTTTCTTCAACTCTCTTGTTTCTTATGTTTACGGTAGACAACGTGTGTGCCATTGGTTCCATTTTACGCAGGGTTTCGTAGTTGTGCTTACAATCGTCTATCCTCTTAAGCCACTCTATGATTCTGTTCTCATGCGTTTCCGGTGGGAAAAAAACCTCGAGCATCTCGAACTGATTGCACTCATCGTGCTCCGTTGCTTTCTCCCGTCAAACGGTTTGCCTTCCGGGGCGGAGGTGAACGTATCCGATAGTCTCGATCGCTGGATCTAATAAGACAAAATGTTTTTTTATCAGCGCTATTGTGATCCGTTTTTCTACCAAAATGTATGTATTACTTAGGCGAGTGTAATATCACGGCGCTTGATTTTTCTCACGGTGTCCACAAGACAAATTAGCAATTACAGATAATAGTAAATGACTACTTAACGCCCACTAGACAGGAATAAGACCCTAATAACAATATTCGGGGGAAAGTAGTATACTTCTTTTTTATTTCACCAAGCTGTGGATTCTTCGTCCACCGCTCCATGCGCTAGCAAACCAGTCGCATAAGTTTCACTGTTCACGAAGTGAAAAATCGTATATTTGCCTACTGAGTAAGCTGTGACTCTCTCTGTCTCTAAGCGCCTTGGCTAGAGGTGGACATGCACTCACACAGCAGTTGACCGGGTTCAATGGAATCAGTTTGTTGGACATTGAGAACTCACCGTTTTGTATGCAAGCTCAATATTCCTTTGTTCTATCATCAGTAAGAATGCCCTACCCTCTAAAATGGGGTGTGGTGCGGCAAAAATCCTCAGTCTTTTCATCTTAGACCAAGTCCAAATAATTAGCTGTTGTAATTACCTCACTGATTACTCGTCTCGTGCTTTCAGCCGTTCGCCTTATACACCTCACGAGCATCTTATTCTAGGCTCTGATCAAACAAAGCAATTCTTAGGCTAGACAACACCCTATCTTCATGAATCTTGCTATTGTATAAGACACGCGCTCAGCGGGATTTAGTTTTGGTGGGTGGGCTAAACATGATGGCATCCATATCGGGGCATTTATTTCGGATAACTCTAGCTGGGCGATGAACACTCTTGTCATCCTTTGATAAGCAATTATCGAATACTAATCTGAACGGTAGCATGTGCTCTCGCAGAATACGACAACACTCTTCAAAACTACAACCCCGAAATTGAATTTTACGTTCTTTCACGCTGTCCCCTATCACTTTGAACAATGGGTTGTGCACATCACGATTTCCATCCAAAGTGATCACGGTTCCACACGATAGATCGTAATTCCATGTTCCCCGTAAGCAATGCCTCAGTGCCCAGTCCAGCCTGGCCTTCATCCGGTTAGAGGTATCAGCTTTAGACCTTGGAATTTCAATTCACTTTCACATCCGATCAAGAACAGTGTTCGTGTGTGATCTGAGGAATTGCATAATTAATGAGGTGATGGCCCGGATGGCAAGGACTTTGTTTTGGTCTNCTGCGCTCGGGATTCATCTCACGGTGATCGATCTCCGTAGCACTTTGATGCCAGTGAACCCGTTCTATTATCGTAATTTCCGAACATGTCCAAACTCGTATTGTCGTGTCCCGCAGTCACCACGTCTCCTGGTTTGTTCACTCCTTCAATTTCCCGCTCGGATTTCTTCCAGCACGGGACTCACGACGATCTGATGGCCAAACGCGGTGCTTATTACGAATTGGTGTGTCGACAGGAAAATCGCGATCTGCTTGAATGAACTGTCCCACCCTCTCTTCAATCGCTTACGGCCGGTACGAGTTCGCTCCATTTGTATATATCTTCTAACTCAAACTGTGTCAGCCAACAACCTCTAACTCGTTCGTGTGAATTCGCACTATAACACATGAACAATTGTGATCTGACCGCGTTGTGTACAAAGCTAATAAAAATGTCTAATCTGTATGCTATTCAGACTAAATTTGCCCTACTTTTTTCCACTGTATTGCTACCCGAATACAGTTAGATATTTTTGTTTAGGTTACACAAGCAAACCAGTGACGCTGTTTTTCTTTTGTTTGCAGCTTTGTTAGCGCCCTGCATTATCTTTTTTCTATTATAAATCGAACTTTTGTATCACGATCTTGGTTGTCTGAAGTGCAGTATTCAGAGCACACACACACCCTCGCCGTTCATACTCAGTGGGTTTGAGAAAACCTCTTGTGCTAAAAATGAAAAACGAATAACACGCCGATTCAGTCTAAAGCACGATTCGAGAAAAAGCCAAGCGATCTCCGAGTCGATTTCCTTTGCCGCTGATGTAACCTCCCTCGCTAATGGGTGTTGCAATTATAAGGTGGGTTTTGTTGTGTACAAAGCAAGAGCCACATGGACTACCGATCGAAGAAGCGGTAAACTGTCTTTTTTCAATCTTTTTGGGCTTCAGCAGAAGTACAGATTGTGTTGGCCTAGCTTACGATCCAACCTAGGACTTCACGCTTCAAAAAAACGCTAACAGACGACCCACTTAATCACCGGCCAACTGACCGGATTGTTTGTTCTAGCTTATTTATACCCAGTAGAGTACGATCCAATTTTGTAAGCTCCTAATCTTATTCGTTTTTCGCACTAGCCATCACGGGTTCTAACGGAGTCAGGGAACCTTGTGGACGTGAGTCCACAGAGAAGTTGCAAAAGAATCGAATGTGAAATGACTTTGACCATACGCACGATCGAGAAAGTATGCATGGTGTATAGAAAATGTGGAGTAGTCTGTTCGTCTATCAAGTGGTTAGCATCCTCGCCTAGTGTATCTGCACTTGGGTAAATAAATTCTCCTGTTGATGATAATCAACAAGATTATATAGTGCCCCCAATGTTTCCTCGCATAATTACTTGGTTTTGTGTGGCGTTGTTCTCCTAATGAACAATCTGTTCCAAAACCATAAAATCAATTTGAATCTTGTTTTGCAATTCGAGTTATTATAGCCCGCCAAAGCCTACTAGTTGTG